GGAAAGAGAGAGAAGTCATTTCCAGTAGGGCACATGGATATTGCTAACTACCAGCACCGCAACCTTGATGTGCTCAGCACAATTACCTGCACTGAGACGGGTCTGTTAATAGAACGGACTGAGATCCGTGTAATCATGGATGACACTGTTCACCCACTCCTGACATTCATTTAGAAGACCACGAGGAGTTCTGAACATTGTAATCAACTATTTTTGCACACCTAAATGGGATAACTAACTAAGAGAGGAGGAGAGGACATCTCAAGTATATCAAAGATGCAGCAAAGGCTGTTGAGCAAAGACCGACAAGCGGGAGCTGAGAGAGGTGACATACGAAATAGTTATCTTTCTTTCAAAACTGTTTCTTGTCTCAGAGCAGTAGTAGGAAAGGGCTTTCCCCTCCCTGCCTACACAATTATCTATGACAGCTATGAAAACATGTGTTTTTTTTTTCTTCAAGTTCAGCAGTGAAAAACAGAAACCTAGATGAGTATTTCGATGTATATTAAAACAGAGGTTACGATCCAGAAGGCAGAGACACAGTCCCCTGGTGACAACCTGCTTTTAAGTGCCAGTACCTACTGACCCTCAAGCCAGTCAGAGCTGCTGTTCTGCATATTCTGTTTGGGGACCTGCTTTATTGATCTAATCATTGATGTTTTCATGAATTAGGGCTTTAATTTGGATTTCCCCCGACAACAACCTTGGAAAATCCAAGCTACCTATTAAAATAAACAGTCAGCCCACGTGGCAGTGAATTCCAAATGTTTGTTGTTGTCAGGTAACCTAGGTTCCACCACAGTACCAGAACATTTTTTGAACTTACACACCAGAGCTACATGACCAGAAAAATACCGAAGCGTTTAATTGCTTAGAAGTGCTGTGGAAAAGCCCTCTTTCTTTGCAAGACTACCGAATTCTCCTTTCACACTCTGTCTTCCCCTATCTATTCACATCACACAAGTGATGCAGAGGACAACTGACAAGAATGGCCAGGATAGCATAGGCCAGGATGCAACAGAGTATGCCCACAGTCTGCTTGCCCTATGCTTGCTTCAGACAAGGCTGTCACTCTGCACGAAGCATGGTTCATTTTAAAATTAAAGAGTTCTACAGAAATAAGTTTTCCTGCAGAACATACAGTTTCCTTATGGTCTGACAAAAATAATTTGGACACTGACGCTAAGGTGGGCCAGCATAATCCTCTTTCTTTTCCATCTTGCACAGATGAGAGATTAATTTAATAAAAATAACAAGGCAAGTAATGACAAATATTGATATGATAAATCTAGGAACAAAAACCCCCACACCTCTCTCTAAACAGGTCATTTTTCCTGTTCTATACCTCAGAATTTCAGCAAGCTGAAAGATACAGAATCACACAGACTAAGGTCGAGCACAGGGTCTTCCTAAGGCTCACTGGTAACACATGACACCAGGAGTGCAAGTAAATTAACAGCTGATGAATGAAAACCAATTTCTTCTGATAAATACACACTAATTCTCAATACATAACTGCACCACCCATATAGCCAGCGTCCGTTTTGAAACAGGAAACTCCACCCTGCCCTCCTGAGAAATGACAAACAATTTGGTGTTTGAAGATCACTTTGTCCTTTTAAGGTAACATATATTCGAGGCATTGTTATAAAGTAAGTGATAAAATCAAATTTATCATCATTTTAAGATTCAGTACTGTTACGGTTGGGCAAAACTTCACCAGCAGAAAATAAAATGTATTTTTAATGAGTGGTGGGACACGGGATTTGAACATGTAGTTTGTTTAATTTTCTGCTAAATGAATGAGCTTTTTTGATATGTAGTTAGTCATGAAGCCTCTCATAAAAAATCAGAATCATTTTAATACCACTTCCAAAACTAAAACAGGAAAAAGGACCTTGACCGAGATGTACTTGAGACTACAAATCCCTCTCCCTGACTTCTGAAAAGGCTACAGACAATCTGCTCCTATGAAGTGCTTTCATGCTTGCCATTAGCCAGCTTTCAAGAATAGTTTTGGCTTCCAGAGCACCCTCAACAAAAGACACTTAAGTGAGCTACAACGCTATCAGATGTTAGTGATTCCCACCATCAGAAGAAAATGTTTAAGAAGAAAAAAAACACAAACTTTTTTTTCTTTTTTCCTCAAAAAGGGTTTGGTTATTTGTACCCTGAAGTAAAGTGAAAGAAAAAAAAAAAAAAAAAAAAAAAAAAGAGAGAGAAATATGAAAAGTGTATTTCAGAAAGCAAACCAGTTCTTCCAGAGGAGAGGGAGATGCCAGCTATGCCAACCCAAGAAGGAGCCAGACTGACAAATACCCACTTCCTTCTCCCTGTGCCACTGATGTTTGATGGCAGTCTCTCCGGACAGAACACCAAAACCTCTCTAACACCTCCCAAAGGTGCAGCCATTTTGGAGAGGAGGAAGACTTACAGAGGCAAACAAATAGATCTGTAGGAAAAACTTTTGAGCACCATGCCTAAATTAGGTTTAAAATCTGTTTTATATTGACAGTTTCCACAGCCACACATGTACTCTTCCTGTGCCGGATGCTGGTTTTTATACTGAAACCCTCATGTGTGTAAACCCTGTGTTGCCTTCAACCTTGAATTCTGCAGCTTCTGACGTCCTGAGCATCAGCAGATGGTGGGAAAGTTTCTGAACAGAGTGCTCTGCTCAATACACAGTATCATGAAATCCATTTATGCCCATACTCACAGATTTACCCTTCTGCAGGTTCCCTTCACAGGCCTGTTTGGACAGGTCCTGGCGCCCAATCAAGAGACAAACTGCTTCTGGCCAGTCTGAGGCAGGCTGCTCTCGGCAATAATATATCGCATCTCTGATAGGAAGAGCTACACCGAAGGGGAGAGACTCCAGATCTCTTAAGGTGAAACCTTAAAATTAACAAGGAAAAAAAAACTGCTTTATCAAAATTAGATAAAGGGTATTTCATATTATGCAAGCACAAGACTACTACTTATGATTGCTACCATTTTTCACAATGATAAAAGCTGCTCTTACCAACATTAGTCATCCAAATAATTAACTTTTCAGCCAGGCTGGAAACAGATGGGCTGTGTCTGAAACTGCTTCTGTAAAAAAAAGGGGAATAAAGGAGAAGCCAAAAAAAGATAGTGCAAAAATCAGCAGAAAGTCAAAAACTCAAGAGTTTAAAAGAATATGAAAAACACCCATACCGGCTGTCATCCTGTTCTATTTGCTGTTTTCGTTGTCCTAGGGAAGACAAGGCCACATTACTTCCACGTTCTCCAAGCAAAAGGACAGCACGTAACAAGCACAAGACACTAGGAGATACTATGATGGCATCAAAGCATCATTACCTGATGTAATCTTGTACAAATAATGGGAGGCTTCGTTAGATACAGCGCTCTCATCACCAAGTATATACAGAGCCACACTCTGAGTAGGAAAGAGACACCATAATACAAAGTCACTTAGCGTGCAGCTATTGCTATACTGCCTATCAAAATAGGTAGAAGGTAACTGTAATAACTTAAACAGTGGGACAGGTTTATTATGACAACATTGTTAGTAAAAGGAGATTGAAGCAACTGAAGCAAGTAACAAACTCTTATGCTTTAGATTTCTATCTTGAAGTTCGGGGAAAAAAAATAAATCCTGAAACAACTGACTCAATTTTCCCTAATAATTGTTCCAAAGGTTAAAAGGAGAAAGATCTTCTAAAGAGAAAAGCATGTTCCTAGTGTATTTTCTAGCTTCTCACATTTCATTTCTCTTGCAGAACACACACATCTTCCACAGACACCACTTTTCACTCAGTTCGCTCCACATCTTGAATACTGGCTACTTCGTGAAGGCTCCGAGTGAAAAGCTGTTCCCCACTTCAGCTATCTGGCTAGCAAAATCAAAGTGATCTGTCACCCTCTTTACTATTTGGGACTGACAGACAAGCTGCCATGCCAAAGGCAAAAATCACAGGTAAAAAAATCTTTTGTGTTCTTCATTAAGATCTGCCGGCATGATACGCTGCTGACATGCCAGCCTCCGCATAGGTGACTCATGCAGAAGTAGGAGAAAAGCCAGAGGTGGATGGACAGGCAGGTGATAGCCCCAGGGAAAGGCCACGCTTCTTCAGAGCTTGAATGCAGAGGCAAATTTTAAGTGAAAGCATCAGCACTCTGAAGCAGAGGACAGGCTGACTCCTGGCAGCTCATATCAGAGACTCTGTAACTAATCTTGGATGCTCGGGTCAGAGCAGAGTCTGTCCTCCCCGTTTTGCTCTTCAGCCACCCCAGGCTCAACACCTCTGCTCCAAACCCTGTATTGGCAGGTTTTCTCCATAAACGCCTTGTGAATAAGCAAGCAAGGCTGGCCAGGAGATAACATCAGCACTTATAACCACTCATGCGACTAAAAATTTATGTTGATACATGCCCAAGAAGAAAGCCGGGAAATTCTCACTCACAAAATACAGTTAACTTTGAGTTACATTATTACTTCGCACATGCCACTACTGGAAACCACAAAAAAAAACATAAGCAGTGAAGCATAGGCTACTTGCTCTGCACGCATGAGCTCTCCTTCCCAACCTCAAATACCTTCTCCCACCCTCTAAAATCCATCCCCACCCTTAGAGAAGAGGGGACTCACAGGGATTTCTCTCTGCTAAATACATATTATTCTCCCCGTGGGGAGGCTGACACCGCACCGTTTACTACATTGCAGGGATACTCAAGAGAATGTCATGCAGACAGATGAGGTCTGTTTAGTATAGAGCAGCAACACTTGGGAGATGCTTAAGTCTCCAAATAGTCCTGCTACAGCAGAGTTATTTATCACAGGCTCAATACCCCTCTGGTATGAACCCGGTGCTCCACATACTACAATTAAACCCTCTGTTATTTGACTTCCCACTGGGGACACTTCACTCACAGAAAATTAAGCAGCTGGTGCAAACCCTGGCCACAGTGCTCCTACGCTGGCAGAATAAAACATACCCTTTTTACCAAAGTACCTACCAATACTACCAGTTTGCTCCTTTCACAGATTCCTGGTAAGTAAGGATAAGGCTGCACTCCTTCTCCCTTCAGACAGGAACTCAGCCACTGAAAGATACTTGGAGGCTCAGCAGAAAAAAATGAGGGATGGTGCATGAAACCTGTTTGGACTTAATCATATGAACAGCAATGACACTGAGTTCATCGCAAATGCACAAATATTCTCCACTATTTCCAAAGCAAGCCCTACAGTACTACTTCTGGTTTACTACAAAAGTACAGTATTTTCCCCAAAATGTTAGAGATCACATCTCCCTCCTATTAGATGGAAGTTTATAGCTAAACAGTAATGACAACACAAGACACTTATCTGTCTTTCAAGAACAAAAAATTATCTAACTCAGCTCAGTGAGAAGAAAACCATAAAAGTACCAATTCTCAAAAACCTCACTGGAATCGCCTTGTAATTCAACAATAAATCGCTTAAGTGAGAGGACAACCTAACCGTAACCTCTTTGCCTTCCTTGACTACAAACGAGTAGCAAAGCCTGACCAACGTTATACTTTCTTTTTTTTTTGGTCAGGAGAAACAGAAGTTTATCTTATACAACTAGCAAATTTTAGCCAGTAGTACACTAAGCAGGTGCACAAACAATACAGGACCTTATTTTAACTTTAAGGTTTGTGCTTTTAGCTCTGATTTAGTTGTTATGAACTATAAACCAAGAGCCTGCCAGCCTAGTGTTACTTTCTACAAGAGAGGCACATCTCACTACTAGGCTTTTTCAACAGTTGTCTGCTAAGATTTCTCAGCCAGCCTGAGCTGGGAGTTTGCCAAGATGAAACCATCGTTCCCTCCCAAATGCTTGTTCTGCGGAGCATCCCATGAGGCACTGGACTGGAGGCACCAGCTCATAACTATACTGTGCTACTTTCACTCCAGACTTCTTAGGAGGGGTTAGGTCCTGACCAGCTTTAAAGAGAAGAGTTAGCAACATGCTCAGTATTAAGAGATCATTTGATCATCACTGAACACCCAGCTTCACATAGCCTTAAACTCACCTTGATCAACTATGCAGGTTTGTCTGGAGGTTTTTACAAGGGCTGGATAGTCTCTGTAGTAATAATCTATATAAGCTTCAAGTTTTAAGTCTCTGGAATGAGAGAGATTTCAATCACATTAGAGGGGAAAAATACCACCCAACCTTTCCGCGTTTCTGTGATGTTTCCTCTTTGATTTTTTTAAAAATGATTGCGCATGCCCTAGATATAAGGAGGGAAGTTCTGACTTTCTTAACTAAGGCCGCTCATGAGCATCACCCCTTCCCCAAGCAGTGTATCTGTATGCTTAATCTATATGCATGCAACGCAACTTGAAGGTGCTTGTGGAGGGCATGAAGATGCAGTCACCGGCTGCAGCAAAGATGATGCAACAAACCAGAATATTTGACAGATCTGAGTTGTGACAACAGAGTAGGAAACACACAAGCTGCAGCATCTAAGACTTGCGAATCAGACTGATGTTGGGAAGTGGCCAGAACCATATAAGAGATTTGCTACAGCAAATATCTTTAAGCACTATAAGGTTTTAAACATTTGTTCATTTTCTTCAAATACATGAAAATTCTGCTCCACTTTGGGCAATCCCCGAATTCCCCATAAAAATAATACACACCCAGCACCACGAGACACTGCACGATGCACAGTATCTGCAGTTTGTCAGGTGGGCATACCTGGCCAGCTGAACCAGAAGAACCACAAGCGAACGAATTCCTTCTCCCATGAGACTATTCAGTTTGAGCTCCTCGTAGATGAGATGAAGAACAAAGAAAATAGCAGGAATATGGGTGAAAAGGAGTGTTGAGGAATCCAAACTAAGGCTCTGTGAAAAGTCATCTTTCGGAGCTGAAAATTCCAGAGGGTCCAGTCGCAAAGCTTTGGCAACAGGGTGAGACTCAAAATTCCTATGGTAATCAGAGCTCAGAAGATATTCCCAGTCCTAGACCAAACAAACATGAAAGAGAGGCAGGGGTTCCACAGTGAACATAACCTTCTAGCCAGAGAACTCCAACGCACTGTTACAGAGGAGGCTTTTTCCCCAGAAACCAATACAAATGTGATTGCTGCATGGTAAATGTGCTGCACAAACCCTGCAAGAGGGGAGATTCAATTGTTAAGTTTCATCTTTCCCCCTCCCGCTCTGTTGTGCATAAAAGAATCAAAGCCTTATATTTAAGAGAACAAGACAAAAGAAATACAGGAGTGCCTCCCTTGCACCAATAGTCTGTGAAGGAGACCTCACCAAGTATTTGCGCAATTCACCTAGTGCTCCCAGCCTTCTTTGCCATCCTGCCACAGCACATCAGGCATAAGATCCTGATCTCTGTTCCACGTAGGCTGTAGTCCATAACCCCATGAGATGTCTACCCGCAAAAAGCTAACGGCATGACTGGACCATCACTGCTTGTAAGCCTCTTATGATGGGATGAGAGTAAGCCTCATCCACTTTGCTGTTTGACCATGTGAAAACTTCCTGTTCCTGTCTAGGCAAAACCCCATGAATCAATCTTAAATGCTGCATGGAATTTAGTGAAAAATCAGTGCATTCAGTGAAGTAATTAACTTGACACTCCTGCCGAGTGAGTCTCACTCACAGGAGCGAGACAACTTCATTTGCCTGAAGACCGTCTGGGATTGCTTTGTGATCCGTATTAAATTCATTCCTGAGCCCAACCTACTTCTCTGGAAGTGAGAACCCAGACGAGCAAGGTCACATGACGCAGCCACTGCACAGGGCGAAATAACTTTATTTTCCCCAAAGGCTTGTAATCTCAGATGAGCTCAGACAAAATGTACTACTTGGAGGGTGTTCCCTCTGGTTTGCCTTTAAAAAAAAAAAAAAAAACAACCCCAAACCAACCAAACAACCCCCTCAAGGCTCTTATTTATAAAAGAACACCATGTCTTACTTCATCTGACCCCGTTTCTGACGGCCTAGCCTTCTTTGGAGCAATAACTGGTGAAAGTGATCCTTCAAAATCAAGCTGCAAGAAATAAAGAGATCAGAAGTAGCTCAGTATTGAAACCCCCAAGGTTGTGTAAGTGAATCACCAGCCATAACATCTGAATTCAAACCAAGCACCGCATGACATCGCTTTAGGTACTTCTATACTTTGCTTTCATATAAAACATATACAGCGGTTAGATTGTTCTATACACAGCTAGTTATTCCAGTGGATGGTACATGATTTCACAGTTTGGCTGCCTAACATCTGGTGTTTACTAGGGCAGAGGAAATACCGTGGATGAGCTAATGCTAGTAATGTAGATATACTGTCATTGCTTTTATGTCAGTTGTACACATATCCTTGCTGTTTCTTTTTTTCCTGCAAGTACTGCAAACGTACTTGCTGGCAGGAAACCCACTTACAGAAACCTCCAAATAAATTCAGTAAAATAGTTTAAAAAAACCCCATAGAATTTTAAACACGGTAATTAAAAAAACTACATGGAAAATCCTCTTCGGGAAACAGGAACTGGAGTTGTAATCTGCATTTCTAGTGAAAACAGACTTAAGATGGATGAGGTGAATCAAATCCATTAGTGTTAGTCATGAAATGGAGTAAAATCTTCATAATCTATTTTTATTTGACCAAGACAGTTGGTGCTAAGCAGTTAATATCTCATGATAAATGCAGACTAAAGCATAACCTGAAATTTAGAAATACAGAATTGATTTGATGGCATCTTGTGATTTAAGACAAGATACAACCTATTTCTGACTTCAGTGTCTCTCCAGCCATTTTGAACCTTGAGGAACTATGAGTAGCATTAATGTAAGCTGGGAAAACAAACATATGAGATTGCTTACATTACGTGTCCAGGACAGTCTCTCGGTGTTGTAACCCATCATATTCATGAGACATGTTACAAATAAATTCCATTCTGAATGATAGCTTGGTCCTCCTGGAGCATTATAAGCATTGTACCACTTGACAAGCATCTGTACCGCTACCTCTTTGGGCAGGATAGCTTTGATGCCTTGCAGACATCTTTTCACTGTTGGGGGAAAAAAATAATAATAATACAAAAAAATTAGGTGTTTTCCATCTTACCTCCTGGTACTTCTTCCAAACAGTGCTATAACCCTCTACAGTTCTCGGACCTCCTTTTAACTCTCTGCCAATTCTTTCAATAAAAGCCACACCAGACCACTTCCAACAGCTGGTCCTTTAGTTCAGGTTAAGCACAGCTCCTCTAGTTCACCACACAAAGGGGAAGAAAGTTCCTTTTTGCTCAATACTGAAACCAGCTTGTGTCTGAACTGGCATCTCAGCCCTTCCTCAAGCAAGAGAACATACAATAGTAGAGAGCAAAGGAACCTAAAGAACGAAGGAAGGTTTAAGAGTGCAGTGGGTGAAGCACTAAAAGCAGCAGAGCACACCTAAACAAATGGGAACGGCTCTAGAAGGTAAGCAGACAGAGCTTAGAATATATGGTACTGAATCCTTACATGAATCAACTACATGAAATATATTCTATAATTTTTGAGGGTTCATTTTTTATGTGATGCATTCCAAATCATACCTAGTTCCGAGGTGGCAATCTCAGGAATTGTAATCCGAACCATTGTATTATTGCTGAGTTCCTGAAAAAATAAAAAAGGTAAGAGTCAAATTATGAAATACTTAAAGTAAAGCCAGGGCCCTTTTCTATCGAATCAGAACCCATTTATGTATGAAGCATATTCCTAATTCCTGGCTATTTGCCACACTAAAGATTTGCAACCTCAGATGCTAGTTCCGTGAAACACTTGAAATAGATCTTGAGCTGAATCACTTGAGGGAATCAATTAAATTCCGTGACTTCTAGAGTATTCTACAGAGAGAGAAGCGTGGAGCCACCCATGCAGGTGTGCTATTTTCTTGCTGATCAGGAGCTGCTAGCAATGGCTCACTTGACCCTCACTTTGCTAACAAAGCGTTGACTCAAATTACAGGATAATACCTACTAAAGTTACTCTGTTGTGGACAGGGTCCCTCAGAGCGTGAATGAAAGTTCCAAGCTGCTGAAAAGTACAGTCTTCAACATAAGTTGAGTCATGAAGTTTGGAAGAATCCCTTAGCTCTGGAACTGGTGACAAAAGCACGCTCTGGAAGGTAGTAAAAAGGATTACTTAGAATTGTTGAAATAAAGTTACCTGATAAGGGACAGATAAGATTGCCATTTTTAATGTACTAGCAAGTATTTTGAAAACAACTATAAATATCTTTCCAATCTCTGCCTCAGACATTTTACAGGAATCATAAATAAATAAATAGATCTTACTTAAACACTGCTTATTCAAGGCTTTACAGAAGACAAATAAAAGACTTAGCTCCAAAAGATAGCTTTAAAGTTAAAAATCAACCGATCATTTGAAGCTGTTACAACTAAACCCTTTCCAAGGCAGGAGTTCCTTTCTTACCTCTTCTAGGGGCCCCAGATGCTTATTCAAAGGCTTGGATGGAGTGCTGACACTATCCAAGGGAGTGCTCGGCCGAGGCATTTGGTTGGACATTGTCAGGGATGGAGCAGGCAGCCCGGGAATAAAAACCTTCCCCACCTTTTTGTGAACAATATATAGGAAAACAAAGAGTTTCCGTGCCCATGCTTCCAGGAGCTTGCTTACATATACAGACATTATCAGATTTTAAAATCTTAAAGGAAAAGTTTTAAGAAAAGCGGGTCTGTACTTAAACTAGTCTCAGAAGAGATTAAAGATTACTTCAGGTAATCACTTTCTTCAGATGATGACACACTGAAAAACTTACCATATATGGTCAGTATTGTACATTATTGCTACAGGTCTACTCCCACTAAAAGTTCCAGCAGGGCTTCGCTGAGAAAGCTCTACTTCCAGAAAGTACACTTTTTTATGTACATCCCTATATATGCGTACACACATGCACACAAACACGTACAAATTGCAGTGTTGAAGGTTTCTGCATACAGAGAGAACATAGTGCATCTGCACAGAATTTACGGAAGTTTTAGTTATCTTGCATGAATCACGTCCATCCTAATAACAGCCTTTTGTAAAGCATAATTTGACATCTAAAACTATCTGGCTGCTACAGAGAATTTTGAAAGTGTTTTGTTCAGGAACAATTCTTACTTTCCACATTCTTAAAACGCTTTCAAAGAAAGAAAACTGTATTACTTTAGTATTTTACTATCACTGAAAACAAGCTCAAGAGATTATTTCATTGTACCACAAGGTGCTACTGAGTCTTCAGAACTACCTTTCCAGCACTGCACATAAACTACACTCAGTCCATGAGCACAGCCACCTTCCCCAGCACGCAGCAGACTCCGGTAGCTTAAAATGATGCCTTGTAAGGTACGATGCACACAGGATCCCTCTGTACAGCCCAGTTTGCAATCAAAGATTCAAACACTTATTTTGAGATAGAAAAACTGTTACTTACCCGAACCACACCAGAATAAAGCACTAGATTTCCACTGCCTTCCAGAACCAGCAGTGTATCAATGCCCTGTAAGAATCAAGCAGAATATTCAGCTTCTTCTATTTAAGTAAAGAGACAACAGTTGGACGACGCAAGTGACAAAGCAGGATACTCCACAATTAAAACGTCCATACGCGGGTACATACCTGCACTGGAGCTGCATCCTTTGCTTGAATATTGGTAACGGAACCAAAGATCAGCTGCGACTTATCATTGCTCTCCTGAAATTTTACACACCTAGAGATTTGAGAAAAGAACAGGAAGCATAAAAGGACTGTCCTATCCGCTGGTACAGAAAGAAGATAGAAATTAAAACCATGTTGCATGGTGCAGTTCATTTTATTGTGGTATATCTGGTTGCTTCCTCCTTCCTTTGCTTGTTTTGCCCTGCTAGTCGACTTATTTTTACTCTACTAGTCTAATGAAAACCCCCAATGGACTTCCGAAGGGTAAAGATGAGGATAAATATGAATACCATTCAAATTACAGCAAATATTCTCTTGCAACTTCGGTTTTACTTAAATAGCCCAAATCATCTATGCCACCAGTTAAAATCAGATGTCATACAAGAGCCAGTACCACACGTTGTCACAACAGATTCTGCTAGCTTGAGGAATAGGCATGTTAAACCCCATGACTAGCTGGTAATTTCTAAAGCGCTCCTCTTCGTTCACCTGTCCCCAAGATAGGGATGCTCACCGCAGCTGGAGCTGGGATTCCACTAAAAAGCACAAGAACTTCTGCCCACAGAGGTCAGTGGTAATAAACACTTTCGATGCTTGGGAATTCTTCTCTCTGTAAAAGAGCCACAATGATCAGCACACTGTTCAGTCTACTGTAAAAATTTCAGTGAAGGAAAACACAGTGTCCACAAGCTGCAGGGTCACACCAGACTTCAATTAGCAGTGCATCGAATTGCCAATGCACCAGTCTCGGTTTCAGTCATTACTCTTGATTTTCTAGCACTCCAATCTTCACATTCCCTACTATTGGGCATGCCGAGCACATGCTATTTGGCTTTGTTCTCCTGTTCAATCACAGGGTTTATGCTGCATTTTACCCCTTTTGATGGTAAAACAGAAAGAGATACTCCCTCTAGAAGATCAAAAAAAAAAACCAAAACCCCAAACCCAAAGCAATGACCAGGTTAGAACCTACTTTGCTTTAGAGACCTCATTAAACCGTTCCCCAGCTCAGAGGGCTAGAGATGACACAGCAGGTAAAACTGTTCCAAGTGCTCAATTCCCCTTTCAAGAGAGCTATGCACACAGTGAGCATAATTTTTCAAAAAAATTAGCAAGTGCAGGTCCACATGTCTATTTTAAGGCGGCACCATTTGCAGAAAGCACACACTAAAATACGCTGTTCTTTTACTTTATCCCCCCCCCGACACGTGGAAATCCAGAATGTTTCACATCCCAAAACGAGCACCTAACCTCATGTTTGTGACTGTTTCTGTCCACAGATGATCTATACACAGCTCAGGAACAATTGGTTCAGTTTCTGGTATAAGGAAGGAATCACTGGAAGTGCTGTTTGGAGAATGGGTGATACTGTGCCTCTTCGGTGACTGAGCGTTACCAGAAAAGTTGAACCTCTGCACTCCTGAGAAAGAATGCACGCCCAGGGCAGGGGAATGAGAGCGGCTGCAAAGACAAAAGACACTGCTGAAGGGTGGATTTACAAAGTCAGGTACAGGATCCCTGTTAAGCCAGGGAGCTCATACACTGGTAGAGACTTTAAAAAACAAACACACAACAAAACCCACCCTAAACCAGCAGCTAGTTAGGTATCAGCTTCCTTTAGCAATACACCCTAGCACAGGAAAACATTTCTCTAATTGATCTCCAGTCATCTCTGTCAGAATCCAATAGATGAGATTTCAAGAGTAAGAAAACCAACATTTTAAGTTGCGTGGCCCATTCTATCAAAAAATCTCTCCCCATCTGTTCCCTCTAAATATGGCTTTCTTTAGCAAAGCCAACTAAAAACACTCGTGGGACTCAAGACCCGCAGACAGTCCCTGACTCTACTACAGACTGGCTGTGTGAGGACAGAACAGCCTCTTCGACTCCTGCACACCAGCTGCCCTCTTGTGCTACAGGGATAATAGCACACTGAGTGTCGCAAGAGCATTCCAAGAGGGCTTTCGGATGCTGTAACAGGGAAGGCACCTGCACCTTAGACAGGCAGACTTGTAACAGTAGAGAAAGACAGACAGCAATTCCAGATTTACATCCTATTCCATAGCTTGTATTCTTTGGTATCGTCTGCCTACGCATCATGTTCAGCACCCACCTCAAAGCAGCCATGTTGGAGATAGACGGCGAGCGGGACTGCATGCTGGGCGACGACACTGATCTGCTCTGGCTGTGGATAGATGAGTAGTTCTGGAAAGGGGAGCCCACGGGAGAGTCTCCTTTGGAGAAGCTTCTGAGGTGAGTGGTCAGAGAGCTGCTAGTGGCCACGTGCTGCGGTGTGCCCATCTGCTCCGAGAACTTCAGCACCGTGTTCTGCTCCTGGGAGAGAAAACAGGGCTGTCTATGCACATACAGCACATGGGCAGTAACAGCCAGGAAGATGCACAAATAGCTTGTTTCATCAGTTAGGTGTTAAAAAGTTATGTTAAAAATTAGGTGCCCAGCCTAAGAAGTTATTCCTACCAACCAGGCTCTCTCACTCCCAGTCACAGAAATGACTCCTGTGGTTTTCAGGGCACTAAGCTGTTTGTCACTTTTCTTACAGAACACAACAGTTTAAGCAGAGTCAAAACCTTCTAGTACAATGTAAGGAATAGCATAAGCACAGTGTACTTCATGACCATTGTGTGATCTCCCTGACTGGGCAGTATGAGAAGCTGAAAGGTCCTTGACTAGTGCAGGGACTACATAGCAACAACTAAAACATCAGTGTGTTATCAACACTATTCTCATACTAAATCCAAAACACAGCACTATACCAGCTACTAGGAAGAAAATTAACTCTATCCCAGCCAAAACCAGGACATACATGAAAGAAATTAATTAAAAACAAACAAACAAAGAAACCCCACACTAGCAAACATCTTACTCTCTTATAAATAAAATAAATCACAAATACCAGGCATTTGTAACACACACAGCCATAAGGGCAAGTAAACACACACAAAAATTTTTGGTAACAATATTCAGCAAATTTGTACCTCCGGCTTTACTCTCCGAAGAGCCCAAACAGTATGTAAACTCTGCACAGTATCATAGGTCATCACGATGGAAGGGTCAGCATTGAGAAACACGATCCTCAAGGTGTAATCAGCCACGTACTGCACTCTAGCAGAACCAAACACGCCTGCTAAAGAAGCAGTTAACTTCAGTTGAGGCAAAAGGATCATTTCTACAGCAGTGTTATCAGTTACAGGGTTAGCGTTTTTCATACCCTCTTTCTTCCACAACCTGGGTTTCTTTTCTGAACAGTTTCCCTGGTCACAAAGCAGCTAAAACACCCCATTTCTGAATTCTTGCAAGAGTAATTATTTGCAAATTTTGGAATACAGAAAACAATGAAGTGACACATTAAATGTTTGATACCATACTGATGGACTCCATACATCTAAAGACGTAAACTTACCTCCAGACTTACAGACAAGTGGTGTTATCTCATCTAATGGGTGTAGCATGCTGAACATAGTAGGCAGAGGTTCTCTAGAAAGAAACCAAACAAAGCATGTTCAAAACCCAAATGCTAACAAGCATAATTGTTCTCTCTTGTAGCTGGTACATGTGCTGCAATCCCAAAACAGCTCCTCAGACCTTAAGAAATCAGAGCCTGCAATCTAACAGTAGAGACCTATATTCTGTTCACAGAAGCTTGTTGGATTTACTGGGTAGAGGCAGACAAAGGCTGGTGTATCAAACAGGACGATTAGGTCTTGTTTCACATCTCAGAGCACTTGAGAACGACCCCACCTGGTGGCCACACAACAGACTTTGAACAGAGCTGGCACCAGCCAAGTCAGGAGGAGTAGGAAGAGGAGAAAGCCCTTAACCTAGACTCAGTTTAAGAGTTCAGGTTCCATGGCCCCCAGGTCCCAGACAAGCAGGCAGCCATCAGGTCATTTGTATCCACCACAGAGCAGCAATCAAGCCACCCATCTGTGGTGGCAGCAGCAAAAGGAAGAATTTTCACACAAGGCCCGTTTGGGTCGGGTCCATCATGATTTTTGCAATGTACCCTCCTCCACGTTTTCAGGAGCTCTGTTTCTAATCCCAGCTCTTCTGAGGACTAGAGAATCACAAGTGCCTGGAATGAACACATAAAGCCCAAGAGAGAGCAAGTGGCTGCATTAAAGCTGCTCATCAGCACACCATTCAACTCCTTACTCTGCTTCTCAGCTGCATGCCCAGCCACAGAGCACAGGGTCCACGATCCTCACCAAATAGGTGACAGGATGCTCCGTACACTTAAAGCATCCTGCAGCTGAGAGAAAATGTCTCAATGACAATCCCTCAGCGAATCTCCCAGTCGTTCACCACAGTCTGGAACCAATTCCCAGGACAAACCATAAGAAAATCAGGCTAGTAACACCCAGATCGTGCTGCCCATATCCTGTTCGCAGGATCACTGCTCCCAACTAGCTCTTAACACAACATTGGAGCAATATCATGAATTCTCAGTATTCAGCCCCTTCCTGCTATTTCCTGATGTTTCACCTGATTTCCCCTGTCCCAATCATGAACACACAGAGCCTTTCATTACTGCTCTTCAACTCTTGCACTCCTGTATTAGATTAGCAAACAGTCCATAACGAAACAATCAAAGCCACTCATTACATACCTGGGTGGACTTGGAGGTACTTCATGTGAAGAACTGCTGCGCTCAAATAACAAACCATATTTTGTTGGCCAGACGTTTGCGACCTATATAAAAATTGCAAATAGATTTATGGCCAAAAAAAATTATAAAGTACTTACTATATTGATTATGTTTCATGTTTAAGTATCTCATTATAGCAAAAGAAGATGTTTAGGCCTTTTCTTTAGAGAAGGGAGCAGGTTGTCAGGCTACAAAGCGGTCATACCCATGCTTTCCCACGTCATACGACAGCCTGCCACTACTTCCAGAAGCATTCAATGCCTTAACCACACAGCCACACTTTCATCCACAGAGGGAAGAACTCAGGCAGCCACCATCAGCCACGTTTTACGCACACCTTCCCACCCCAACACAGCGTGCAAGCCCATCGGTGGGCAAAAAAAAAAAAAAAAAAGTGCAGCACTTACCTGAAAAGGTAAAGCAGCAATGTAATCCTTTCCCTCTATGCTATGCACATTTATACAGGAATTCTGCAATATGCAGATACATTTCTCTACTATTTCATCACTGCCTGAAACTGGGGGAAAAAGAAGAAAAGAAAAATACACAGTAAAGTTTCTTTCTTTCCTTAGACATCCTCTACACACAAAATGTAAACTTGGGGGGGGGGAAGGTGTATTTGCCTTAACAAGGCAAGTCTTGATGACTAAACTTGTCATGTTGGGAGCGTTGAACTCAAAACATTTGCTTGGCATCACAGCGAGCAGGAAACTTACCATCAGCTTTTTCAGATTTTTCCTGGGGTATAGTGAAGTCGCACCATAAGGCCTAAAACCAAACACAGCGTCATTATTTCTGAAGAAGGATGCTACCAGACAATCCCACCTCCTTGGACTTCCCAAAACATCCCCCCGCCTCCGAATGCTGTTCGAAAACAGTCAGCGAGTGTTTTTTTAGCTCACGCGCGTTCCTTCGGTCGCCACCTTCCCGCGCTGTCATACCTGCAGAACGGGGCTGTCGACAGTGAAAGCCTTATAAACGGCAGACGCTTGGTTTTTGCTTCCTTTGCTCCAGATGACCATGTTGCTGGCCACATACAGCTCTTCGTCGTAGTCCACTTCTTCCCCGACATCACTGACGCCTTTCCTCAACTGCCAACTTTCCTGAAAACCAAGATTTTTTTTTTTTTAAGGAGAAGTTACAAGGCCTG